GGACGTTGCTCAACTCTGCTTTAATTTCAACAAAAGCTCTTCCACCAACAAAAGTCCATTTAAGGTGGTCACTTGACAATTACCAAGGCTACCCCACACTTCCTTGGAACAATATGGAGGAAAGAATCCGCGAGCCTTCAACCTCAGCAAAGAGTGGAAATAAAACACGGAGATTGCACAAGCCTACCTGGAGAAAACATCAAAGCGGATGAAGAAATGGGCAGACAAGGGTCGCAGGGCTCAACAATTCCAAGTTGGTGATTTGGTTCTTGTCCGACTAGTTCCTGAACAAACCAGGTTCTTAAGAAAGAGAGATCGTAGACTGGTACGTAAATATGAGGGTCCAGTAAGGATCCTTTCCAAGGTGGAGAATGCTTCTTACAAAATCGACCCACCAAAGTGGATGAAGGTGCACCTAGTATTTCATGTAAGCAACCTGAAACCTTTTCATGCAGATCCTATAGATGCTAGCCGAAGGGAGCCAACCAGAGCCGCCATCACCATGAAGTCACCCTCAGAGCATCGAGTCGAAGAGATCTTAGCCGACAGGGAAATCAAGATATCTCGAAGACTAGTTCGAGAATACTTAGTGAAGTGGGAGGGATTAAGACTAGAAGAAACCAGTTGGGAAGGAGAACACGACCTCTAGAGATTTCAAAAGAAGATTGAAGAATTTCAAACCAGCAAGTCGACGAGGACATCGATAGAATAGGTGGGGGAGGATGTCATGAGCCAACCTTGTATAGGGCCATGAACGGGACTTAGGTTGCCATGAGCCACCCATGTATAGGGCCATGGCCGGGTAGATCCCTTGTGCTAGAAAAAGTGTTCCCATTTCAAACATTGTAATAGTTACTGGTAGCATAGCTCTAAAATCTCTAAGGCTTTTTAGGGGGTGAACCGGCAGCGTAGTGTTGGGCTGTCTCACCGGGTGCTATGCGAGCTTAGGCCATCCACCAAGGGCTGCCCCCTGGCTCTAGTGATGGTGGGAAGTCCCGATGTATGATTCCCGATTATAATAAAATTCACCCTAATTGAATGTCCCGAATGTCGCCTCGATGTGTTTTTCTTTTTCTCGATGTGAATGTGTCTTGTTGTGTGTGTGCTTGAGATTGATCTCGATATATTGTGTCTTATTGTGAATGCTTGGGACTAACCATGGCTTATGGTTGTTTGTTCAGATATCGATCTATTGAAGGCTGACTTGGGTGGGAACGTCCATTCAAGTGCCGCACGGTCTATTGCTTGTTGAGAGAAAGCGTAGTCCGTGACACCATGGCTGTGCATATGAGATTTTAATGAAATACTATGGTCTCATGAAAATTTCAGACATTGCTTAAGGAGGGAAAGAAAAATAGAAGATTTTCGAGAAGCATTGGATAAAGCTAGACTAGAAAACTTAGGATTCAATGGAGTGTAGTATGTGTGGGAGAGAGGAAATGATCCTGGAAATACTGTAAGAGAAAGACTTGACAGAGGCGTTGCTATTCAAAGATGGTGGGAGAGATTTCCTTTGTATGCAGTTCACCATCACATGACGTTAGTTTCAGACCACAGTCCACTACTAGTGAATATAGAAGGGAAACAAAAAGTGAGATAACATAGGAGAAAAGATAAAAAGTTTCTTTTTGGAGCTATATGGGTAAAAAAACTGACTGTGAGTAGGAGGTAAGCAACACATGGCCCGGAGATCACGACAACCACAATGATAATATACTGAAAGAACTGAAGCACACGGGTTCACGGCTTTCAAAACGGCGTAAGGACAAATTCATGAATATGCACAATGAGGTAGAGAAGCTTACTAAAGATCTTCAGCAGTTGAAAAGTTTACCTGTCAGCGAAGAAAATTTACAAAAAGGAAAGATATCCAAGAAAATCTGAACACAGCCTTAGATAGAGAGGAAACATTTTGGGCGTAAAGATCTTGGGTCGAATGGCTTAGAGAGGGTGATCGAAACACTGTATTTTTCCATGCCAAGGTTTCTCAAAGAAAAAGGGTGAATGCAATCACTGGCTGGAAAATGAAGATGGAAAGTGTTGCGAAACCGTTAAAGATATCTAAGAAATAACCACTAGTTACTTCAAACTACTCTTTCAGTCCTAAGGAAACGTTTAGACTGAAGATATTCCTAAGGCCACTGGGAACTGAGTTTTAGAGATGAATGATTTCTTGCTAATGGAGTTCAAAGTTAAGGAGGTTTGTACAATTGCACCTTACAAAAACACCAAGACCCGATGGTATTTCTGCTTACTTTTACCAAAAATTTTGGCATATAGTAGGTAGTAATGTAGTTAATTTCTGTTTGCCTTTCTTGAATGGAAATGGAGACCTTAGTGAGATAAACCATACGAAGATTGTCTTGATCCCCAAAATCAAGCAACCAAAAAATGTTACCCAATTTAGACCAATTAGCTTCTGCAATGTTCTATAAAATCATTGCAAAAGTACTTCCTAATATAGTCAAACTCGCCCTGCCCCACACATTAATGAAACCCAGAGTGCTGTTGTCCCAAGAAGATTAATCACAGATAATGTATTGGTTGCCTATGAACTCTTACGTTCCATGAAAAATAAAAAGACAGGTCGAACATGCTAGTTTGCCTTCAAATTAGATATGCATAAAGCACATGACAGGGTCAAGTGGCATTTTTTGGAATCAATGATGCAGAAGCTAAGCTTCAGTTCAAGATGGGTGTCTCTTGTAATGAACTGCGTTAAATCAGTATCTTACTCAATTATTTAAATGGCCAGGTTACTAAAAAGTTTTATCCAGGGAGAAGACTCAAACAAGGTGACCCATTATCACATTACCTATTTCTATTTTGTTGTGAGGGATTGTCAGCAGTTCTTGCAAAAGCCCAAAGAGAAGGATTGGTGTATAATGTTCAAGCTAGCCGTAATGGGCCCCGATTTACTCATCTATTTTTTACAGATGACAGCTTGATTTTTGCCAAGGGAAATCAGAACGAAGGCGAAAGGGTGAAGGACATGCTATGGAAATAAGAATAAGGTTTGAGTCAAAAAATCAACTATGCAAAGTCAGCTTTATTCTTTAGTAGTAACACAAATGATGAGCACAAAGAAACAGTAAAGAATCTATTTGGCAACCAAGCAACAGAAAGTCCAGAAAAATACCTAGGATTACCTTCCAAGGTAGAGTACAGTCAGGGGACAAATAAAGGCCTTTAGAGAACTGAAATGTAGAATACAGTCAAGGTTACGAGGGTGGAGCAATAGAAGACTATCAATTGGGGGCAAGGAGATATTTATTAAAGCCATACTCCAAGCAATTCCTGCTTAATCCATGAACTGCTTCATGTTGCCGAAAGGCTTATGCAAGGAACTAAATGAAATCTTCAGCAAGTATTGTTGGCGGCAAGGAGAATGATCAAAAGGTATCCACTGGAGGAAATGGAAAAATATGTACATCCTGAAGTCCCGTAGGGGAATGGGGTTTTGAGACATCGAGCTTTTCAATAAATCAATGCTGGCAAAGTAGGTTCGGAGGCTGTTAACACAAACAAATAGTCTTACGCACCAAGTTCTTAAAGCCAAATACTTTCCAAAATGCTCTTTTCTGGAAGCGAGACTTGGAAACAACTCATCCTATACTTGGAAAAACATATGGGAAGCTTGTGAGGTTTTGGAGATGGGTGTGAGATGGAAAGTTGGCAATGAGCTGTCAATTCAAATCTGGAAAGATAAGTTGGTCCCAACAACGAACTATTTCAAGGTGAAATCACCGAGAGTAATGCTAGAGGAAGAAAGTCTCGTGGGAAAGCTTATAGACAGCTCAACCATGTAGTGGAAGAGGGAGATTATCTATGAAATATTCTCACATGGTTAAACGAAAGCTATATGCCCCCTGCCAATAAGTAAGCTGGGTGCCCAGGATATGTTAGAGTGGCATCATCACAAAAAAAGGGGTCTACAGAGTCAGGAGTGGCTATAGATTATTATAAAACACATTGAATGAGGAATGGCTTTCCCTGCAGCAATAAGAGGAAACAATGCACAGGTTTGGAGGGCACCGTGGTCGGCAGAAGCACCAAGCAAGATCAAATCATTGTTCTGGAGAATATACCATGGCTTTCTCCCGATCATGGCGAATCTACATAATAGAAGCTAAATGTGGGTAAGACATCCTTCAAATGTCAGAAACAGAACTAGCGGTACATGCCATTAGAAGATGTCCGACTGTTGTTCAAGTCTGGAATTTACTAAATGCAAACAAGGAGTTTCACGACAAGGACGCTGGGCATGCTTCATGGGTGGAACAAATCTGTGTGTCTTCTGATAAAGAACAACTATACATGAGCATGATAATAGTCTTTGGCTATATGGAATGAGAGAACCAACATTTTGTATGGGGAGAATAAGAGGGGCTCATAGGAACTAGTACACTTCATCGGGAAGTATGTGACAAATTATAATGCTACTCACGCAAAGGACATGGCTCAAACTAATGCCCTAGTTGGATGGAAACCTCCTAGCAATGAGCTTGTCGAAGTCAATTATGATGGAGCAATATATACTAGCCAAAAAATGGGGTGAGGGCATCGTCCTAAGGGACTCCATAGGCGAAGTGCTAGCAACTGCTCCATAACTATACCATACGTAAGAGAACCCTTCCATGCAGAAGCTAATGCAATTGTCCAAGCATTAGAGTTTGCGTCTGATACGAGCTTCAGGAGGATAGCACTGGAAGGAGATGCCCTGGGAATTGTCAAGCTTCTTAACACAACAGAGATAGACCTATCGCCAATAGGAGTAATCATAGAAGAAACTAGGCAATAAAAGACCAATTCCAAACTTGCCTCATTATGCACACACAGAGAAAAAGGTAACATTGCTGCTTATTTGTTAGCAAAGAATGGCTTTAATCTAGTAGAGAATAGCTTTTGGATTGAGGAGTACCCTGCTGTTATAACTCAAGTCATCCTTGAAGATTGTAATTCAGCTAATGAATGAAATTCCCACATTTCTCTTCAAAAAAAATTAATCATTAAATCAAATGCTTAGATTTTAATTTATAGGCATATATACTCCATTTTTAATGGTTAGAAAGAACTGTTCTAATTCTTAAATCATTTTTTTTTAAATGAAAAACTGTTGTGTTACCTTCTATAAATTTTGCCTCCATTATGACCACGATAAATGCAAGAAGTAACCTTACAACCAAATGGCGTTTTGTGGACAAGGGAGTCGCCTATAAAAAGATCAGAGTCCTTGCACCGCAACTGATCATAGCATAAAGGTGCAATACCAGATGGCCAACATCTCAAACTGTTTGCCAAAAGAAACAAAGCCAATTAAGGCCAATTAAGGCCAAAAAAGGAAATTAATCATATTTTTCTGCAAAGAAAAAAAAAAACGAAAGACAAATTAATACTCTTGCTGTCCAAAAAAAAGTTGTAACAATCTGATTTTTTTTTCATTTTAAATATTTTCAACTTTGGTTTTTATCTTTTAAACCTTTTATCAAATTAAATTTCTTAAAATATAATCTAAAAAATATTAGTTCATTCCAAGTTTTGAATTAAGAGGCCTTTGTTTCATGTTTCAATTAATACATAATAAAAAATTTTTAGAAAAAGCAATCATAAGCTAAAAATTGGATCCTAGAAAAAAAAAAAACTATTACAACATTTAACTTGCATAATTTGGATAGGAATACATATGTAGATAGAGACATATACCAATTCAAATATGATAAGGCTTGAACGCATACGTTGAAGTAAAAAATACAATTTATTTGTTCGTTGAAGTGAGTTTTTTATTTTAATTAAAATTTTTATAAAAAAAAAAAAACTGTACTTTTTTGCACCAAAAAAAAAACCATTGTACTTAATTTAGTAAATAATAGAAACAGAAAGAAAACATAATATAAAGGCATAGTAAAAATAAAAAGGCATAATATGAAGACATAGTAAAATAACAACTAAATGACTAAAATAAAAACTTATCCGAGCGGGTAAAATGTTAAATTTCATAATTAAGTAATCAAAATAAAAAGTCACCTAAAATTGGATGACCTTCCGTGTATTTTACTAAAAAATTAGACCCATTTTAATCATTTTATCCTAAAAAATCAACCCTATATCCCACCTTACAACCAAAATCTTTCACTTCCTTGCTCTTTGTTTGGTGGGATAAAAAAATGGGAAAGTGAAAATAATTTCAACTCTAGATTCCTCCACAATGCTGTCTTATCCAACACTAGCCTCTCTCATTTGCAAAAACCCATTAAATAAAAATCTATAAAAAGATCAAATTTTCTTCATGATTTAAATCTCAAGCTCTAACATTCTCAGCAATACTACCAACACCTTTAGACAAATAAAAATTTAAAATCGACGTCCCAATATAAGAAAAAAAAACAATTGAATCATAATTGAAAAGAAAAACTAATTTTATCATTATGCCAAACATAAATTGTATATTAATCATGCAACACTATAGGCTTTTAGCTTACTTGAAATCATTCGGTCCGCAAACACATTTAATGCAGCTACTGGCAGTTAAAGCATATGAACCATTTGCTACTATTAAGCTCTCCTTATACCACTTCAAGTTGGCAGATGAACATGCTGCACCATCACCATGCATGGAAGATTAATATATGTGTCATTGAGTAGTGTCATCATTTGAAACATGAAATTGTTATATTTTGATGAAACAAGAAATATATTACTATATGAGATTAATATTTTTTAACGCCATGTTATATGATGAAAATTGTACATCATACATTTGAAACAATTATGTAAGTATATGATTTATTAATTGAATTGTTCTTCTTGGAAGGAGGAGTTTCATATTTTATCCTTTTCATCACTACTTTCACTCGCTACTTATATGATTCAAAAATAGGTTACATATATTGTTGGAATCACTTTGGACCATTATATTCTTATTGTTCGTTGTCTTGCAAGTTAGTAATTCATGAGCTTTATCAACTAGTTTTTTATATTTAACATTGGAGAAGCTAAATAATTTGCATTTTTTGAGCATAAAGTTGAATTGATGATTGATTATCCTAAACTTAAGTTCCTAAAATATTTATTTAACTATTATATTTAAATTCTAGCATGTCTGATATGCAAATCGAATGAATGATTAATAGGGTTGTACGTGAACCCATACGAAGTATAGAAAAAATGTGCAAATTGAAGAAGGATGAAAGAAGTATTGCGCATAAACAACTAGATAAAGGATTAAAAGAGAAAAATATTTTGTAATATTTGAATTTGGAAGCTTTGATACAATGTTAATTTAGTGATCAATTATCCTAAAGACTTGGACTGATAGGAAAATGTTCAATATATTTAGGTCCTAACAATGTTAAGTACTATGTGTTCAATATGTACTTATGTTTTGTTTCAATTTCTTCCATTGGGGGCTTTTGTTGAGGGTTTATGGATTTTTTTTTTTTGGATGAAAAGAGACTATAGGACCTAAAATGCGATCATAGGCATGGAGAACTAACCTACTATCTATCCTTTTAAAAGGAAATGGAAGGGGAGCATATAAATTCCAGCACCAAGATAAAAAGGACTATTCACTATATATAGACATTTTTTGAGAGAAATAAAAAAGAATTAGAGACGTAAAATAAATATAAATAAATATATATATATATATATATATACACTATAAAGCAAATTCCACGCTTAGACATTTTGTTCATATGATTTTTTTTATTGGAATTTACCCAAATCTCTATAGCATTAGATATATAAAAATGTAAAAGAGTAGTAAGATTTTATTGGATAGACACCTATAGGAATAAAGAAAATTAAAAAAGGTTTTATGGATATGTATGTTTGAGTAAACTAAAATAGAATAAGAAATTTTATATAGGAATAGTGAGCCATATGAGTATGTATTTATTTCAATTGAGAATACTTCATAAGATTAAAAGAAAATGAGAGGGATCATGGATATTAATTATCATTACTTGTCATAACATATAAATTTGGGGGCTAATCGTTAAACAGACTTTAGGAATCACCGCTAATCTTTTTTACTTAAATGCGATTGACTACCTAAGTGAATCTTATCCATTCTAAAAAGGAGTCTTAACTTTAATTTAGATATTTTCAAAAGGTAAATTATAGTTTATAAAATCAGATTAGGTTCGAGAGTGCAGTTATGTATGAATAAAGTTATAGCATCCTCATAGTGTCTATTAAAAGAATGGTACCAGTATAATTTCAAATTATCCAAGCCTTAAAATAGTTTTATAATTTACCAAATAGCTTAATTATTAGAAATTGCTCTTAAAATTACTCCAATAATTTGGTAGTAATTTAAGATAATTTTTTTACCTCAAGAGTATTCATGAAAACTAGTATCCCACTCTAAAAAGGCTTCGTCGTTAGATTCATGTAATTTTTTTTTGTAAAAAAATTTATTTGTGATAGTGAAGTTTAGAACCTTGGTATTAAAAATTCTTATCTAAATTCTCCAATATGTTAGTAAAATTTTAAAAAAATTTCTCACCTAAAAATTTACATAGAAATTGCTATTTGCAACTCTCTTAGTAATTCCATCATTGAAAATTCAAAATCTAATTTTTATAAAAATAATTTATTTTCAAAACTATCTTCCAATATGTTGATAAGATTTGCTATTAAAAATTATCCTCCAATATATTGGTAAGATTTTATGAAAATTATATTTTTCACAACATTGGTTATGAAATTCTCTAATAGTTTAGTAGAATTCATAAAAAAAAATTTAAATTCATGAAAAATCTTCTAATAATTTGGTATGACTCATGCATTTATTTTGAAGATCCTTTTTTCTTTTTAGAAAATTTTTTTTATAAAAGTATCTTACAAAAATAAATTTTTTTTCTCACCATATTAATTCAATCAACAATTTAAAATAATAAATAAATAACCCAAATAATATAAAAAACCTAAATAATATAAAAAACCCAAATAATCTAAAATAAAACCAAAAATAAAATAAAATAATAAAAGGAAAAAGAAAAGAAGAAACCGACTATGCGGGTCGAGTAAAAAATGTGTAGATCCATTCAGGTTCATATGTGTCATGGGCTATTCAAAGCATCGTTTTGGCTCACTATAAAAGGCACTTTTCAACCATTTTTCCTTAAACTCTCTTTGTTGCTTCTCTTTCTAACAAAAAAATTCTCTAGCCTTTTTTTAAACCTTCAACCAAGAAATTCAACCGATAAGCCAAACTCCAGAAATTGATGTTGAAAAATTCAACCAAAACCCAAAAACCTAAAAAACCAAAATCCAACCATCGTAAAAACCTTTCGCCTATTGTGAACCTCGTCAGACTCTTCAAACTTTCGCCAGAAAATTCAACAAAAAAAATACAAAAAACCTCCCAAAAATCCCATTAACTTTCTCTAAAAATTCAAAAATCTCAAAAATCACAAACAAATTTCAGAAATTTAACATAGAATCCAAACCCAAGAATCAAATCCAACAATCTTAAGAACTTTTAAGATTCAAACAAAACACCAAACGTAGAGATCTAACTAAAGCCCAAAAAATCAAAAAGGAAAAAAATTCAAGAAATTCAACTTAAAACCCATAATTCAAAACCAAACCTAAATCTAGAAATTAAAATTCCCCAAATCCCAGAATCATCCATAGACCTAACCCAAAACCCAAATTTAGAACAATTCCCATAAACCTAAAAAAAAATCGACTTAGAACAAAAAAATTTCAATTACTTTGAATGCTAGATATTGCTTCCATTTCATTGCTTTTGTTACTCATTCTTTTCCCCATTTTGTTTACCGATTGCTTATTTGTTTTATAGGGATTGAATCCATTCAATTTAGAAAATAAATAAATTCCCCCAAATATATGATTATGTTTTATTAATTTTCTATGATTTGGTTTTGCATGAATTAAGCCACAAACATTCCAAAATCATCAAATCATGAATTCCTAAATTTGATCCAAGATCTTCACACATTTTTCTTTTAGGTTTTCAAACTTATTTCTCTTTTTTCAATTTTTTTTTACTTTAACTAAAAATTAAACAAAAAAAAAACCAAATCAAATTAAAATCAAAATTAAATTAAAAATTTTTGGGTTTTTATCCTATTAGGCCCAAAGCTTTCCAATCGAACCCAATTTACAATCGAAGGCCCATTTCAATTTTGAACAATTTTTTCAGACAAAATAGAGTGTCTATAGTTGCATCTCTTTAAAAGACATCCATTTAGTTATGGTCCAAAAAAATTAAAAATTTTTAACTTGCAATCAAAGATTCACAATTTAAAAATTTAAGGGTTCATTATTAAATTCAAAGGTTCACAAAATTTAAAAAATTTGCAAGGTTTTATAATTAGAATTGAAAGATTTCAAGAATCCAAGATTCACAAAAAATTCAAAATTTGTAAAATGCTTAAGATTCGCAAAGATTCAGAGATTCAAAATTTCATCAAATGATTCAAGTTTCACAATGGTTTCAAGATTTACAAAGGTTTCAAAATTTGCAAAGGTTTGTAAAGGTTTCAAGATTCACAAAAGTTTTAGGATTTGCAAAGGTCTTAGGATTAGCAAAAGTTTGTAAAGGTTTCAAGGTTTGCAAAGGTTTGTAAAGGTTCCAAAATTCAAGATTTCCAAGATTTCTAAAGGTTCCCAGATTCAAGTTTCTCAAAGATTTTCAAATTCGTAAAGGTTTGTAGATTTGTAAAAGTCATTATATTTGCAAAGATTTCATATTCGCAAAAATTATAAGATTCTTAAAGATTCCAAAATTTGTAAAGATTCCTAAGATTCACCAGGGTTCCAAGATTCACAAAGGTTCCAAAAGTCACAAAGATACCGAGATTCGTAGAGGTTCTAATGTTGGCCTTAAATTGATTAAAAGTTTTGAATTGACAAAACAAAAATTTACCTAACTTGAATCAATCTCTCTTAATATTAAATTGAATATTTTTTTAACTTTCTATCTTGCCAAAATTTATTTTGGAACTAAAACAAAGTAAATTCTCAAAACAAAATGGGTTAAGGCATTTTGTAGATAGAAGGGATCGATCCCCTCCTTTACCTGATCGATCTTTTGGCCAAAGGGATCGATCCATATTTCTTTCAGAAGCTAAATTCGTAAAATTTTGGCAAAAACCAATCAATCTCCTCCTTATATAGATTGATTGAATGGAGTTTTAAGTCTATCTGATCAATCCCTCCTTTAAAGGGATCGATCCCCTACATAGGGGATCAATCACCTGCACATGAGATCGATCTATTTTTTTGGCAGAATGATATCGTGGTTTAAAAATCTAGAAAAGTGATTGATTCCCCCACATAAAGGATCGATCACCCAAGGAATGGATCAATTAGATATGTTACCTGATCGATCGGATAAGGCTTTTTCATGCATGATTTGGGCTATTTCATAACTGACCCGATCGATCCCCTACATGAGGGGATCGATCCCCTAATGCACAGAAAGCCCTAATGGCTATTTTTTTTATCTAATATTTTACAAGTTTGAAGCATTAAATGCAAAGCAATAGCTTTCAACTCATTTCTACATATAAATGAAGCCTTCCACTATAGATTAAGAGTATCAAGAGCTAAAAAAAACT